GAATGGTTTAGATTCACAATTTGAATAATAATTTTCATCAAAAAAATTATTAAAAAAGTTTGAAATTTTCACATTAAAGACGTGTAGACAGGACAACGTCTGTCGGGTCCGCTAGTATTTTTATATTTCAGTGAAAGTACTGTCATAGAAAGGCAGTGGTAGCTCAGTGGTAACGCGCTCACTTGGGAAACCGAGTGAAGCGGGTTCAAATCCCGGTTGTCGCACCTCTGATATTTTCATGTGCGAATCATTTCTAACATGATTACCACTTGCCTTACGGTGAAGGAAACCATCGTGAGGAAACCTGCATGTCTGAGAAAACTTAGCAATTTTTCGAAAGACATGTGAAGTCCCAGAATACATACTGTCATAGATACTAGTTTTAAAAATTACGTTTATTATTTTCGTATTTCTCTCTGTCTGGACATGGATTATTTTATTGTAGTTAATAGGATGAAAAGGATATAAATTGTGTCATATAATTTTGACCAATAGTTGATTTTGATTATATGATTATACTCGTAGCTGTGATAGATCTAACATTATTAAAACACGTCATTTATCTATGCGAATAACGTGTCATAACTTCCGGTCTCTAATATGACCTAATATTTGTAACCGGAAATAATAATACTGTATTCATATATATTAATCTTTTGTTCCTTATGGTATGGTCTAGTAATTTGTTTAACTAACGCGTATAGTAAAAGTTGTTATTTCGTAGTAATTTTATCTTTTCTTGTTGGATATATAGAGTCAAGCTGGCAGGTAACGTTTTTATGAAAGTTCGATTATTTCGTATATATTAATCTGAGTATACCTCAATAGATTGATGTAATTTGTATGTTTCAAATTCTTTGTTTTTATGGGTAGGTCTACGCCACATAGGTTTCTGATTTGTTGTCCCTGTTATAATATTAATAAAAGAATATATAAAAGTTCTTTTTCGTTTATAATTTGCCATTACGGTCATTATGGCCGTAGGGCGAACGAAATAACGAGTACGGGTCATATATTAATAATTTAATGTATTTATTTATAGTACCTAGTTATTTTGTTGTCATTAAGCTTGCTTCAATGCTTCAAGTTAAACTTACTTATTTTTGTGCTTAGTCTTTAGCGCAGAAAGATCCTTCTTTCCCAATTTTTAATGTTGGAAAATGCATTTATGCATACCACCTGTATACCCACACAGGTGGTTATGTGGGACTCACCAGCTAGAGAACCCAGTACTACCCATTAAAACATAGCAGAACCTTCCCCATCTGAATGGGGCGTCGCAGGATCGCTTATGCACTGCAACTGAGGTAGACCGCCTCCTAGTACTTTTCTTGGCTTTGCGCCCGGCTGGATTGCCGGACGCTAATGAGACAACCCCACCACGACAGGTGTACGCAAATTGGGCCTCACTATAACCCTTGATAACTTAAACAAAACATGATACTCAGGGTACTTGATTGAGTTTTAATTTACTTTTTTTCCATTTTGCTTACATAAACTATCTACTCGTATTTTGCTTACTTAGTGGTTTTTCGACGAAGCCTTTGACAGTCAAGAATAATAATAAAAAATATTTGTCTTTTTGTTAATTTTTAAAACCAACATTTTAGGTTTTATTATAACTTTAATATACACTTCGTATGATAAGTTTCGCATGAACTTAACTTATTATATTAAGTCACTTTAAAAAAAATTGTAATAAATTTCGTCATGATTAATATAAAATGCGATTGTTTCAAAAGACATTTGTCTAATTCTGGTAGTTTTAAGACATACTCGTAATTAGTGGTTAGACACGGTAATTTAGATTGGCCTTCGTAACCACTCCAGGTATACGTTGATAGACGCAAGCGCATGATCTATGTTATAGATACGTCATAACGTCATATACTCACACGTTATAATCAAGTAATGATATACTGGTTTTAATTTCATCTAATTTCAAATCGTATAGAATTGTATTCCTGATAAAAATAATTAAATTCATAATGTTTTATATAAAACTATCTTTTCGGATTTTGTCGCGGATTTATTTGCATTTTTGTTTCCCGACGTTTCGAATGCTTTACAGCAATCATGGTCACGGGAGAGACATCCGAAAAGATAGTTTTATATAAAATGTCGAATATTCGCGTAAATCTAAGAAAATATTAAATTCATGATGTTTTAATTAACTATTAAAAAAAACTGAACAAAAATTCAAAGTAGTTTTAGGTTTTGAGCTTTAGGACAAATAAGTTGTAAAGTTTATGAAAAATAAATAAGCTAATCATTATTAAACTTTAATTAAATAAAATAATTATATAATAAATATTAACCATACCATAAGGCATAAAATATAAATGCATAAAGAGTATTAAATATTCTGATTCTCAGATTTGTAGAGCGTTACAGGTATGAATAGCGTAAGAAAATGAGGTATTTTACGGCGCGGAATCTTACAATAAATAGAGGGAATATAGCGTGTTTTACGAGGTTTTCCGCAATATGACTGAATAATCTTAGTGGGAGGAAATAAAAGCATCCGTCAGTTGTCATAGAGATCGAGCACATCCTAATGAGTGCAAGGACGTGTCGTGTGAAAACGACGGAACAAACGCGTGACAACTAACACCAAGATTTTTTTCTAGGTTCAACCTGTATAGATCATGCAAATATAGATATATAATTATAGTATTTCCTTAACAGTAAAACTAGGGACGACTTTTCAATTTTAAATTAGAACAGGTAATATGTATTTTAAATTAGAGTCAGCGGCTTCGCTTTTTAACAAGTTTCTTATTAGTTCCACTTGGAACTAGGCATTTATTGAAGTTTTTTTTCCTACCATATACTACATCATTTAAGTCGTTTTGAGGAATCTTAAGCAGTACATTTTTAGTTTAAAAACTAAAAATAATTAAAAAAATAGTAATTAAAATATTTTATATCATACCATAGTAAAGGAACCTCAAATAAAATAAATAAATCATTAACTGAATTTCAATGCAGATTGGCTTCAAATTTTATTTTTTGTTGTCAATATGTCCAATGCATTCCAGGAATTGTTTCCATGGAAGTCTGTTTACAAATCCTTTTTAACCGACTTCCAAAAAGGAGGAGATTCTCAATTCGTCGGAATCTTTTTTTTTATGTATGTTCACCAATTACTCGAAGACGCCTGAACCGATTTGATTTTTTTTTTGTTTCAAAGGGTATACTTCTTAGATGGTCCCATATAAATTTTATCGAAATCGGTCAAGCGTTTTTTTTAAATCAACAAATAATAATTTTTTTTAAATAAATTGCTTAATCGAACATGTTATTAAAAAACTTTCTTCTAACAAATTACCTGCTTATTACGTTTACACTAAAAATGAACAAATAAAAACTTAAAAACATAAATAAAAACCGACTTCCAGGCACTAAAATGTAAAAAATAACTAAACGGGGGTTTTCATTTAGAATAGATACCTAATCAGTATATTTAAAGTCGGTGCCGGCCGACAATATTTTAAGATAGGAATATCTAATATTTAAATATGTATTTTACGTATCGAAATATATTAGATTTGCGTTGCATTGGCTGGCACCGACTTGGAAAATATCTGATTAGGTATCTATTCTAAATGAAAAACCCCTTTTGGTTATTTGTTACATTTTAGTGTCTGGAAGTCGGTTTTTTTTAAGTTTTTATAGTAATATAATACTACATACTATAATAAGCATACATATTATAGTATGTAGTATTAATTAGTTTAGTCCGGAATTAGTTCGAAGGATGATGGAAAATCGTAAGTATAAAATTGTATAGTGGGTATGTAGAGAGTAATGTATTTTAATGAATTTCATAATGTATAATTTTACGTATTAAGTTTTTCAAATTGTAAATAAATCCCAATAAACGACAATTTATTATGAACGATGAAGTATTGTGTTTATTTACATAATTAACTGCTATATTATTAAGGTACTTGTTAAAAAATATAATATAATTGTAATCTTATAAATTCCACGCATCTGCGGGAGGAAACTCAGTCAGGATCAGATTTTGGAATCTTTAGTCTTGGTTTCATACAAATCATCAAAGTTAGCATATATAAATATAGATGGCGGCACTAACATTGGACAAAATCTGAAACCTGTTTTAAGCGTTTTTAAGAATATGTAAAATATGATTAAAGTATAAAGCCAATATAATATAATTCATATAAAATTTTATGTACAAATTAATACTTTTTATGTATAAAATTTATGTAATAATTTATAATAATTAATAAAAAAAAATATAGTTCAAACACTCGACAACAGATGTCACTGATGGTATTGTTATTATATTTCTGGACGCGAAGGTTAGCGTTGAGTCTAAAAAATTCGTCAAGTGCGAGTCGAGTTCGCACACGAAGAGTTCCGTACCATCATCCATGTACTTTTCATTAATATGACTTTTACTCTATGTATGTAGTATATTAACGTCGATGATCGGTTACGAACGCAAAAAATGTATTTTTATTTAGGTATTTTTATTATTATTTGATATAGCGGCAATAGAAATATATATCTATTCTGTGAAAATTCGGATTCGAACCCTAATAAAATGTTCGTGCCGTATGTCATTGAGTAACGTAAAAACTTTTGAGTTATATATAGTTTTTTTTGTTACAATACTATATGTATATAAAAAACCTTTCTTTACTGATTTCAACTTTTTTTGACAATTAGAAAATATGATCACAATAATGAATTTGTTTTCATGCACGTTTGTGATTCACAGCCAGGCAATATCATGAGAAAGGCAATAATGTCCATTATAAAATTACAGAAATTATAACTATAACTACATACTAAACAAATTTTAACTTGTAATCTTTTTATATTTTCAGGTATTCTCCATCAACGATTATGAGTAAATCAATAAATCGGGCATACAAAATGATTGCCGATTGCAATTATATAGACACAATAGCTTTATTTGAAGTTCTTATAGGCTTTACAATATCGTGACACTAATTCAAACCAATATGAGTTCAGAAACTTCATCTTACGAGATGCAAGTGAGGAAAGATGAGGACCAGAAGGAAAGATCAAGACCCACTTTATCTTCAGGAAAAATTTTTTACAAGCCCGGAGCTATTGAAGAAGAGACGGATGAGACCAGTGTACTTGATAGTTCTATTATGGAGTCCCCTATGCTCGGAATTGGGTTTGGTGGAAGTGGATTTTTGAGGCCGCCTCTTCATCAGTCCAGTAGTTTTCATAGAGTACCAACATATAGCAGTTCTATTGGACACAGCACTGTTTATCGACACGATACTTGCAGGTAGGCATAAATTTTGTTACAAATTAATACTAATAAGTTTACGTTATTGGTCTGAAAAATCTGCTGTATATGTTAAATGCGAAAATGTGTTATTTGTGCTTCTTAAGTGTGCGTTTTACGTGAATGATAAACGACGTGAAACGCATCACATCGGCCTGCGAAGGGTCGCGTAAGAAGTGTAAGAACATGTTTCTAATAAAATTTAAATGTAAAATACCATCAAATCTTTTTTTGAACCTGCTACTAAAATAATGAGAATAATGAGAGAATACTAAAAAAATTAACGTAATATTTTTTTGGACCATGTATAAATTATTTTTATTCTTGCATTTTATTTCTATATTTTTTTAATTTTATCTAATTACATACTTATTTAAAGAGATGTAGTAATTTACGCAGTTTATCAGCGTATTACCTTAATCTGAAAATTGTACAGTGTTATATTTATAATAATAAATAAAGCTTTTATATAAATTAATAAACTTTATGACTCAATAACGAATTGTGATAAATGTTGAGATATGACAACTGTATTATCTTTCCATAATAATGCACTTATATGATGGAGATTAAAAAGTATATTAATTATTTGGTAATGCTTTATTCGACATATGCATTATATTAGATAAAAATATTTCTAGAACCATATTAATATTAATCAGGGCCGGATTTAACCTTAGTGCCGCCCCTGGGCACAGTAAAAAATGCCGCCCTATTATCGAAGTTTTGCATAAAATGGGTAAAATTTCGATAAAGTTTAAACGTTTTTAATTATTAATATTTTGAAAAATACAAAAAAAAAAAATTTATAAATGATATCAATTTTTCGGAGTGTGTAAGTACCTACTAATACTTTCTTAGATTTACGCGAATATTTGACATTTTAAATAAAACTATCTTTTCGGATTATTTCGTGGTTTTATTTTAATTTTTGGTTCCCGACGTTTCGAATGCTGTACAGAAATCATGGTCACGGGAGACACAAAATTTTAGACGTCTCAAAGGCGTTATATACTTGTTACAGACAGTGCCTACCCACAATTTTACTAAAACATGCCATTTTTGATTTTTTGAAATCGTTGGGGAACAAAAATCAAAATAAAAACGCGAAATAATCCGAGAAGAATGTACCTACTAGTTAATCATTTTTTATTTTTCAGTTTTTTTTAATTAATTTTTTTCCCTGCGAATTTTGCCGCCCCTAAAATTTGCCGCCCTGGGCACTAGCCCCGAGTGCCCCTAGTGTAAATGCAGCGCTGGTATTAATAGACTATCAAATACGTCAAGATAGCGAAGTTTAGCGAAAAATCCAGTACCATTAAAGTTGCGAAGATGACGTCATCGCTGAAATAAAAAACAAACGGATTAGTATTAAATGTTATCTTTTAATCAAATATCGTTAACGATAGATCCTTATTAGTTTCAACTAATGTTTGTGACTTTGAATGCTGCTGATAAGGGGCCGTTCAAGTATTACGTAAGCACTATTTCTTTGTTTTGCTTATTTTGGATGACATGGGGGGTAGGGGAGTCTAGATGATAATTACGTCATCGGTAGTTATTTACTTTTTTACACAAATGGCAACCCTCACATTGTGTATGCTTGAAAACGAAACGCATTTTTAAAAATTCCCGCAAATAATGCATACGTTTAGGCACTCGCTTTAGAACCGATTAGGGGAATTACCGCGCGCTATTCACTTGTCTAAATTTTCTCCGTTAGTGTATTGTTTTGTTTGGATACTATAGCGAGTAGACGTATTGTAAGCATAGCAAAGCAAGTTAACATTTGTGTTACCGTTGATTCCATTAGCCAAAGTTTAACGTTTAAATATTATAATATAATATTTTTGTCCCTTACTCTATGTTGAATACTGTATCAGTAAAATCTAATCTTTATCGTAAATCTATTTTCTTATTTTTAAAATTATAATTATAACATTATAATTACAATATAAAAAAAATACATTTATAATTGAAAAATGTTTACGTAAGCATGGGAGGAGGGGGTAAGAGCTTTGCTTACTTTTGCTGACAAGGGGGATGGGGGGGTAAATGATTGTAATAAATCTGCTTACGTAATATTTGAACGGCCCCTAAGAAATTTGAAATGTTGCTCTTTGTTTACGCGATACTTATTATGGATTATTTATAACTCTCATTTCAGGAAAGTTTGTCTGTTTTTACAGCAGGATTTTTCAAAAAATTGGTTGTCCTTGAAATACCAAATACATGGACAATGGACATACACCCACCCAGACCGATGATTAATTACTTATCTACTTATATATCTAAAAAAAATATTCTTCCGAACGGATATTGAATTCGCGATATCGAGTATAAAGACATACATATACATATATTCCGACCATCGGAATATTATTGGAATGAAATGTAAAAATATAAATTAAGAAATATATTATACAAATATTCAATCACGATAATATAAAATTAAGGCATTAATTGTTCTTGCATTTGCTCTTACATAGTGTGCAGAAGGAAAATAATGAATCCAAACTTACATAAGAATTTGCGAAGTTTAAAATTTTAGTTACTTAAAGATACTATAAATCAAAACATCTACTAATTAAGATGATTGGATGGTGTGGTGCAAAATTATTGTTTTTTTTTGTATTAAGTGCATATTACCAGTGGCGTAGCTATGTTAATGCAACAAATGCAGTCGCATGGGATCCCTGACTCAGGGTTGCCCCAGCAGGCCACAAACGATTCTTTTATTTCATAAACATTTTTTCCAGGACATCTCAGCCCTCATAGAAAAACGTAGTTTAAAAAAAAACCGCAAGAAAAAAGTGTGCTAAATTTTCGCATTTTATTTCCTATTTTTCCTTCCCCCGCCAATTTGCCTATTATGTTTTCATTTTTCACATTTTTTTTTTGCATGGGGCCTAAAAAGGCTAGTTATGCCACTGCATCTTATATATAGATAGTAGATACATACTATTTAGCCAGCGCTCATTGTAAACCAATCCTTGACAATTCAATATCTAATCAGGGTAAAGATAAATTCTTTACTTATCGAAATCAAATAGTTTTGTAAAATTTTCACAAGGAGACACATGTTTCATTGTTCCCTGATTATTTTAACGGTACTTTAAAGTGATTTTAAAGTGTTTTAGTGTGATGTTTCGGTATTTTAATAGTGTTTGAAAATGAAAATTCAAAAACAAGTGAAGTGTTTGGAGAGGCGTCGCAGGCGTAAATAGTAGATAAGATATTATCATTGTTGACCATTTGTGTTCTACTTTCGTTTAATAGTATTGAAGTGACAAGGTAGAGGTACCCGTCTTGATGGGTAATCTGACAAGACAAAGTTAGTTATAATTTATATCTATTATTTGACATAAATCTTGTTAAACGCTTTATAATGAAAATTGTTGTGCTTATTTTCATGTTTTTATGCATTAATAGCTAAAACAAAAACTAATCTATCCCACGGGAACCGTACATTTTTCCGTGATAAAAAGTAAACTATATGCTACTCCAGACTATAATCTATCTCTGTGCCAAATTTCATCTAGATCCGCGTACCCATTTTGGCGTGATTGAGTAACAAATAAGCATCCAAACGTAGTAAGATGTAAAACGTGGAACTATATATTCTTACAAGATCTGTTAGACGTTTGCTGAAGTTTGCCAGATTAACAACTATTTTTTTTCTATTTATTTCAAAAATATACCAGCCCTATTTTAGCCATTTTAACCATTTTTAGAATTGACTGTTTCTATAACTCTTCCTTTATAAATAGACGATATATTCTTTCAAGAGGAACAGATTCAAATAGAATTCTAATTGTTAAGTAGCTCTCGGTTTCAAAATTCCAGATTATGAGACGAAGCCATAAGGTTATGAGACTTTGAAATACCTAAATGGATTTAGACTCTAGGTAGACCCCACAATATGTAAATTTCATTGTGATATTTACGTTAAAAAAGGTTTTCTATGTCATATTAATTCCCATAAATAAGTTAACGAAATTTGTTTAATAAATTTGTTGAATCCTTATAACTCATATTTTATATAAATCCAAGAATAAAAAATAACTAAATGAATGGTTATTTATCTACTAATACTTTGGTTTTAGTAGAAAAGTGCGGAATACCATATGGTCAGTTCATATCAATGAGTTTTAAGTATACATCAACTTTATCCATATAATCCTTACCTCTCAAAGATAATCTCTCTCACCTTAATTTCTCGTTAAAACGTCGTCAGGTTTCAAGGTTCTTGTAAAAGTGCTACAAACTGAAGGATAAACATTTAATCCATGAAAATCGGTAAACATTGATACGTGTCGAGATAATATGATTAATCATGTCGAAACATGTTTCCACTCAGACATTGACTTTCATTTAAACTACATAACTTCAAAAAGGGCGAGGTTATATGTTGGGCCGGATATTTTGTATCCGATTACTTCGAAATTTTAGGCATATATAAAGAATAAAATACTTTCTTCTTACAAATTACCTGATTATTACATCTATACTAAAAATGGAAAAATAAAAAATAAAAAAAACCGACTTCCAGGCACTAAAATGTAAAAAGTAATTAAACTGGGGTTTTCATTTAGAATAGATACCTAATCAGATATTTTTGAAGTCGGTGCCAGCGGACAATATTTTAAGATATGAATATCTAATAGATAAATATGATTAGGTATGAACTCTAATTATAGTTAAATTATTATACATCAATTTGTGATGTATTTTACGTATCGAAATATATTAGATTTGCTTTGCATCGGCTGGCATTGACTTCGAAAATATCTGATTAAGTATCTATTCTAAATGAAAACACTCGTTTAGTTATTTTTTACATTTTAGTGTTCTGAAGTCAGTTTGTATTTTATTTTTAAAAGTATTTATAATTATTTTTATTTTGTAACTGAAGATGAATTTTCAAAAAAACTTTCCACAAATATAAAATTTCAACATCGGTCTGCGAAAACGCATAGATAGCTACGTATGTCCACCAA